AATTAACCATTGGAGAAGGTGATGATGTTTTCTATTATGACCACAAAGCTCCAGTTACAATAGAAATTTCTGAAGGAACATATGAGGTGGTTGAGCTTGCAAAGGAAATTCAAAAGCAAATCCCAGACTTTTTCCTTACAGCTAATAATAAAACTATGAAAGCGACATTACTTTCTAGCCACGTGTTTGATTTTACAAAACCATGTTTAGGGTCTGTTTTATTGGGATTTAAAGGTGTTTCTACTCCTGGTGTACAGTTTGAATCTACAAATAAAATAAACATTAATAATGTAAATGTGATTAGAGTAAAATGTAATATTGCAAACGGGTCCTATTTAAATGGAAACAAATCACACACCATACATAGCTTTTATCCAGAAGCTCCTCCTGGCTACAAAATTATTGAAGTTCCAAGAAATATTATATATTTTCCTGTAAATAAGAGAAGTTTAGATGTTGTCAGTATTACATTTGCCGATCAGCATGACAAGGCAATTGACTTTAATGGAGAAGAAACTACAATTACTTGTCATATAAAAAAGATATGAGAATTTATAAGAATTTATCTATAAGTATACAAAATGCTAGGTTCCTACGATCAATAGGACTAAAGTTAAAATTTTCTATTAATAAAAATAGAAGATTTTCTAGATGTTACAGGGAAATCCCAATTCGACGATAGTGTGGTTAAAATTACAAATCACTCCTATGTTCCCCATAACACTTTAGCAATAAATAATTCTGATGAAATTCGAATATGTATTAATAATCAAGATTTGCTAACTCTCCCATGTAGGAGTTATCTGTATATTAAGGGAGAAATTGAAAATCATGATAAAGGTCATTTTATAAATAATGCATTTGCATTCTTATTTGATGAAATTAGATATGAAGTCGCAGGTAAAGAAATAGATATTGTAAGAAACCCAGGAATTTCTAGTCTTATGAAAATATTGAGCTCTTACAATAAAACAACTAAATTGTCAAATGTGGCATTTGATTCTGACACGAATTTAAAAGAGTTCCATAAAAGTGGCAAGTTTAGTACTTGTTTGCCATTAGAACTGTTAATGGGTGTATTTGAGGATTTTAATAAGGTATTAGTAAATGTCAAACAAGAATTGGTGTTGAAAAGATCCAAAAATGATTTGAATTGTATATTAACAACCACTAGTGCTCCAGCCAGTGGTACTGCTGATGCAATTCCCAAAATTATACTTAACTCAATTCAATGGGTGATGCCACATGTAATACCATCAGATGGAGAGAAGTTACAATTACAAAAGATGTTATTGCAAAATAAAAATTTGCAAATTGCATTTAGAAGCTTAGAGTTGCATGAACTTCCATCATATCCCAATACTACAAGACATACATGGTCAGTAAAGACATCTTCAAGTTTGGAGAAGCCTAGGTATATTATATTTGGTTTCCAAACAGCTAGGGATAATAGTGCACGAAAAAGAACTGATGAATTTGATCACTGTAAGTTAAAAAATCTCAAAGTATTTCTAAACTCTGAATATTATCCTTATAGTGATTTAAATCTCGACTTTGAAAATGGAGATGTCTCTAAAGCTTATGAGATGTTTATGAGGTTTAGAGAGACTTACTATAATACTATCCCAGATCCTATGATTAGTAGGGCTGAGTTTATGAAGAAATATCCACTAATTGTAATAGACTGTTCTAGACAGAACGAAACAGTGAAGGAAGGAATTGTTGATATTAAATTAGAGATTGAAACTGCAGAAAATGTACCAGCAAATACATCTGCATATTGTTTAATAATACATGATAAAGTGTTTGAGTACAATCCTTTGTCAAATGAGATAAATAAAATGTAAATAAAAGATGAAAAACATTCAACAAGAATTGGTTGACTCTGCAAATCAAATACGAGAGAAATATAGAGCTTTGAAACGTGGCAAGTTTCTAGAGGCTGAAGAGAGGTTCCAAACATTCCAACCTTTAATAGAGCCATTACAAGAATTAAAAAAAATCGCCAAAACAGAGAGGCCTCGAATGGAGATTCTCCCAATGACTCCATCTAGAATACCAGTGATACCAAGATTGCAACCATTACAGCAATCCACCCCACAGAAATTAGATTTTGGTCTTTTAGCATCAGACTATTTAGGAAATTACCTCAGTAAAAGTAGTATGACAGACACTACATATGGTATTAGACGAGAAGCAAATAAATTTTTTATTGGAAATAAGGAAGTTGACATTGCCAATGATGATGTTACAATTGCAAATAAAACCTACAAGGGGACAAAAGGTTTGTGGCAATTGTTAACTTTAAAAGAACCTGAGGATTATACTCCGGCTGATTTGCAAAATTATAAAGAAATTTTGGAAGCTACAAATGGACATTTAAAGAGTTACAAAGATGGTGCACCAATTTCAAGTAATAGACATACTAAATATCTTAATATAATTAAACCTCTATTTAAATCTGTTGGTGAAGGTTTGAGACAAGTGACTGGTAATAAAATAGACTATATTTATTGGGATGATCCTAATGAGCTTGTAGATAGGTTAAGACTTCTTTGGCTAAGTCGCCAAGCCGGTAACTCAGGAGTGGATAATGAAATAGATTCCATTATTGAGGAATTGAGAGAAAGTGGTATTATTTATTAAATAAAAATATGTTTATAGATAAATTTTATCGTTTATATAATCCATATAATAAGCCTGCAGAACCCAGGGCTAGTAATGAACCTACTTTGAATTTACAAGACGATAGTTGGAATTGTTTAAACCGTAAAATTGGTAATGTTAAAGATGGAGAGTTTGTAGATGATGTATCAACTTTGGGTCAGACATTAACTAGAAAAGGTGATGTCTTCTTACAAGGTAAAACTAAATATGAGTTTTTAGAATCTAAGAATAAAAATTGGAATGCTAAAAAACAGAAAATTACTAATGTGGAAAAGGGTGAAAGTTTAGATGATGTGCCCACTTTACAACAGACTTTAATACGAACAGATGGTAAATTTGTACAAGACAATAATAATTATGAATTTTTAGAATCAGAAAATGGTATTTGGAATGCTAAGAAACGGAAAATTACTAATGTGGAAAAGGGTGAAAGTTTAAATGATGTGCCCACTTTACAACAGACTTTAATACGAAAAAAAGATGGTAAATTTGTACAAGATGATAATAATTATGAATTTTTAGAATCAGAGAATGGTGTTTGGAATGCTAAAAAACAAAAACTTAGCAATTTGATGGAAGGTACAGATAGTAAAGATGCTGTGAATGTTTCACAAGTTCCAAAAATGGAAGTAGGCTATTGGAATTTTAATAATAAAAGGTTAGTACGTGTTAAACCTGCCATTGATGACACTGACTGTGTTACAAAAGAACAGACTATAACTTATAATAAAAAAGAAAAATGTTGGGATGCCAAAAATCAATTCATAAGAAATCTACCAGAGGGGGAACATTCGGATGATATTTGTCTAATGTCACAATCTATGCATTACGATGGATCAAAATTTGTATATGGAGAAAAAAATTTTAATTTGATGGAATATAATCCTGATTTATTAGTTGCTGACCCCAGATCTTTGAGTGGATTTAAGTATATAGATAATAGACCATATATACCAGAAAACTATGTATTTAAAAGAATGGAAGATAATCTATTGATTGGGGCTAATGGTGATGTATTTAGAGTTACAGGAAAGGATGATGTTATAAAAAATGAATGAAATTGCATACGAGCTTCATAAGCCTGCAAGAAAGAATTTCATTAGAAGGTCTTTTAAAGTATTGGGTATAAACGAAACCATACAAATAGATTTAGTTGATATGCAAAACTATGCTAGAGAAAATTCTGGCAATAAATATATTTTAACTTTAATAGATACATTTTCTAAAAAAGCTTATGCTGCTCCACTAAAGAATAAGACAGGGTTAGTGGTTACAGAAGCCATTAAAACCATTCTACCAAAGGGGGTTAAAAACATTCAATCTGACAATGGAAAAGAATTTTTTAATCAATATTTTAGCAAACTAATGAAAAAATTAAATATTAATCACTATCACACATTTTCTACAACTAAGGCTGCAATTGTGGAGAGGTTTCAGAGAACTTTAAAGAATTGGTTATATAGAGAATTTAGTGCTCAGGGGAGTTATAAATGGTTGGATTTACTTCCAAAGTTAATTCGAAAATATAATAATAAAGTGCATAGATCTATAGGAATGAAGCCTAACCAAGTGAATGTTAAGAATAGTAAATATGTGCATGAGAGGTTGACTTCTAAAGTAGTGCAAGTTAAAAAGCCAAGATATAAGGTAGGTGATAGCGTAAGGATTTCCAAGTATAAACATGTTTTTAGTAAAGGTTATACTCCAAATTGGACAGGGGAACTATTTACAATAGCAGAAGTTAAGAATACAAAGCCTGTGACTTATATCTTGAAAGATGAAAATGGCAATATAATCAGGGGAGGCTTCTATACAGAGGAGTTGTTAAAGACCAAGTATAAGGACATGTATTTGGTAGAGAAGGTAATTAGGAGAAAGGGTGATTCGTTGTATGTCAAATGGCTTGGGTTCCCAAGTAGCCAGAACTCATGGATTTCCACTAAGGATGTCCAAGGGAGCACATCATGAGCCGGGAGCATGCCCGAGTTCACGCACAAACCTCACATGATTTTGAAAATATACATGGGAATGGATGTGGATTTGAAATTTTAATGGAGTTTGAACATTTATATAGGCTTGTATTGGACAAGATCTAAATATAGCTGGTCTTTAAAAAAGTGGCCAAAAAATGAGCCATATTCCAGACGTGATTTTTAGTATTAACAAAAGTAGAAAATTTATATAGGGGTGTATAGGTCGAGAGCTGGGTCTTTAAAAAAGTGGCCAAAAAAATGAGCCACTCATTTTTCTCATTTTTCCCCTATAAAAAGTGCCCTAAAAGTGCCTCTAAAACGCCGAAAGTGGGGTCATATTCTGGTATTATATCTACTAACCTTCTAATGATAACTCTAGAGAGGATTTAAGTCTTGAAGACGATAACGATTCTGATCAAGACGTGTTCTTCTGGTCCATTCAGATTCCGAAAGATACGAACGATAATAATGACGATGATTATGTGGATAAAGATCACCGCTTCTAATTAAATCATAATTATCCTTCATCTCTTAGCATGATAGCATGATTGCTGATAATTTGTAAAACTTTAGTGAAATAGTGAATAATATGAATAACAAGATATAAATATATATATTTACATTGGCCTGTAAAATGAAAATGATCCGTAATAATTTTACAACTGATTTATATTTAAATGTAAATAAACCCCACTTTCTATGGAGCTGTTTTTATTGACATGGTAGTATTTGAAGCAATGTCATTGATATTCTAGTTGTATTTATTAGAAATCTTAATCGCCTTATAAATGAAAAGAAAATGTTAAATGATGATCAAATCAGTTCAATAAAAATTGAATGAATGTACAAATAAAAGATAATAAAACAACTTTTGAATAACAATACTAAATATTATATGAAAATAAAATACTTTCAATAAATCGATTTAACTATTTTAAACGCATTGAGTAAGATTTTTCAAACTCCTCACTATTCTCGCATAATTATAAACAAATTAAATTGTTCCTTTTTATCATATGTGCAAAAGCAAAACTCTTCAATAAATTTTCTTACTTTACGACTTTCCTTTACTTTTTGAAAACTGTGAAGTAAAACTAAACCTTTCCTCGTACAGTTCTAACCTGCCACCAACTGAATTAAATTAATCTAACATAGTTACTTCGAAAACACATTAGCAATGCTGTTTGAAAGTTCATAATTACATCCCCATCTGTAACTCCCGAAGCTACTTTGGAACAATCCCATGCCACATCGGAGAGTGTATTGTCAGATTTCAGTTGCCGTTTCAATCTTTATTGAGATAATTATGGCTGAATATTGTTCATGAAGTTCCTAGCTTGAGAACTTTTGAAAGCTTTTGCCTTAGAGTTTATATTTCAGCATCTTAATGTGTATAATATGTACTTAATGAATCTACGGGTATATTATTCTACACTAATAGTACTGTAGTTCACGTAACGGTTGCATAAAGATAGTGTTAACAACACGAGTATGAAATAGGTACAAACTTCGCAAGTGCCTTAAAAACTTGCTATTTACGCGAGTTACATACTCTACATTACCCACGACCGGTTTTCAATTACTAATAATTACTACTCAAAACCTTTAAGAGAGGTTTTCGTATACAACCTCTCATTGTTACTGGCATTGATGCAACGACTCATTGTACCATTTTTAAACATCTGATCAGTTGAAGTTCGAAGCATTACAATTTTACTTCTTCTCCCTCAATCGTTGAACCTCATTTGGTCATAAGGGCTAAACACGATTTTTTTATTCCTAGACAGTAAAAATGCTACTTTATACTCGCAACGCATGCATTAAACAAGGTTGTTTTTGCTGTAGTTAGTATGATGAAAAACTATATTAGTTATTGTTATTGAGATATGTGAGATGACATTTGCATCAAGCAATCTATTGGTAACTTAATTAAACCATTTTGATACTAAAACTGGCGAACCTTAAACAAAGGGATGGGATATATATCACTTTACAAGTTCCCTAGCTACAAACATTTACATTTAGGCCTGCACATTTATTATTGATTATAGTAACAAATAAAGTTAAGCTTTTACCAATTTAAGTCAATTGCTTAAAACTTAGTTTTATGATATTTTCTTTGGCTTAATCCCAATGAAGGCATATAAGAAAGATGGGAAGTAATATTAAATCACATAAAGAAAACACCAAACGAAATAAATTTAGAGTTGTCTAGTCTAAAAGAGCCTCATTCAATAATTGTCAGTTGGGATTTAATTAGAAACCTCTAGTCCACATAGGTGGGATATTAGCCCTATTTTTCTAATAGCCTACTCTAAAAAATCGCATTCAATAGTGATCACTTTAAATTAAATTGGAAACTAAAATAATTCGAAAAATTTGGACATAATACGTTATATTATGTCTATACAGAGTGAATTTTAACCCTTATACATAAAGGAAAATAATAAAGTTTTATTTAAAAGATAAAGGTTGTAAGCATACTTGCTTCCTCCTCTTTAAATTATTCAAAGTTCTAGTTTCTTAAAAAAATCTTTTAATAAATGTAAATAATAATTTACAGCTGCGAGCGTTTCTAGTAGCAAAACCTGGAACAAACACAAGAACATTTACAATACAGAACGTGTCACCTAGCCCAGTCTATATTGATTTAACGGAAGAGAACTGCATTATCGACATATGTACAGCGGTCAAGTGCTGCCACCTAAGCGAGAATGTCAATGTACTACGATGCCGACGTATGGTATTTCTCTGAGCCAAACAGTGCTGCAGCCTAACTGTAAACTACTAAAACAACGTGGTTCGTTTTATCTAAGTCATTAACTAGCTTTAAACTTAAGTGCATTAACGTTTATGGGGAAAATAAAAGCTATTGTTTAACTTTGTTCAAGGATATAATATAGAATTTTTATGTTTAAAAATTATAATTAATAATAATAATAATAACAAATTAATAAAATTACAAAAAAGTGAATACCATATTTTCTTTGTATTTTGTGGCTATACTTCCACCTTTAAATCCAAAAGTTACAACGTTTTGTTTTATTTAAAAAAAAATTGACCGTTGTGTTGTTGTTTTTTTTATTGAAGTAGGCAAGTCTAACAGAAGTTGATCTCAGCGTATAATCGTAACAATTAACCTTTTAAGCTGGCAGAAATTCAAATAACAATGTACAATTACTAGAACAATGCCGTTAAGTTTGCCAAATTGTCTAATAAATTTCTTTACTATATTTACTATATTTACGTTACTAGTATATTTCTCTTGTACACTTCGCAATTCCAATCCAGGTAATTACAATCTAAATTTCTACTTACAATTCAAAACAGGATATTTTAGCAAAACGTCTATGATTGTAACGTAGCATTAATAACGTAATTTGCATTAATTATTTTTATCTTGGATCATTTGATCTTATCTCTGTGATTTGACTGCCCAAAATGAGAGCCTTGTAACTCAACGTAAATTTACAAGATTGAAGTACAATAACACAAACTTGAGATTGACTTGCTATCGATGAGCAAATCATGTTGAAATCATGTTGACACTAGGACACATTTCGCAGAGTTATTTAAGATTTAAATTTCAAAGGAATTATAACATACTGCGTCACTTTATACTCTTGTTAGTCATTGTTGACAAAAGCACGACTGCTACAAACATGAGATTGTCTGATGTCGTAAAATGTGTCACATGTTGACTTATGTTGATTGGCTTTGTATGACTTGGTCGTGATCAAATCAGGATTTTAGTGACGACAGTAGGAACGAAAAATTAAATAATAATTTTGTATGTTTAATAAGATGCTATTTTAAAATAAACAAACATAAATATTTTTGTTGTAAAGAGTTATGCGTTTTAGCAACATATTTGTTTAAATTGTAAAAAGAAAAATAATGCAGGTTTTGAAATCGTTATTGCTTAAAATTTAAGCAAAGCCACAATAGGTATTATAATTACATTGTTAATAATTTAGTTTCTAACTGTAGGGTATAATGGTTTTAGCGTAATAATTTATTAGTACAATATTAGTATGATAACTTATTGAATACTTCTATAATTCAATAACTTTTCTATTTGTTCTGGCTGTTATTCAAGTACCAAATTAATGAAGTAGTATGTAACTCTTACCAAGTTGATTGAGGAACAAAAAAACGAAATTAATATCCTACGTCCTTTCCTCACATTTGTTGTACATTATCTTCACTTTATACTCTAAATAGTGGCTCGGTGGTTAAACTGCTTGTCTAGTAATCAAAAGGTCACCAGTTCTCCAGTAGCTTTTTGATTATTCGAATCTTGACCCAGCTGTATTTTTCAATACGAGAACAAAGGTAATTAACCTTGCTACCTTCCACCAAATCAAAACTCTTATTCTAATCCTTTTATTCAACGTGTACAGACTTATTCGTCTCGGATAGTGAAATATAATTGATTTCTGTTATATGTTTAATGCAATAGTACATTATGGGAGATATTCTAATTACTTCCGAGTCATTTAATGAATGGTTTTGTATTTTACAGTTTACAATACAAGGAGGAGGGATGTGGAATAGAGAGATTGCAATTTACAACGCGCGGCCTCGTCTCATCTGCATAAGCCCTTTACCAGGTTAAGTGTCTTCCTTGTGTGTGGTTTGACGCACCTGTACATATTTAGTGGCTCCCCTACTGTATCTACATCAGTGACATGGTCAATTAAAGAGATTAAAACAAATTGTTATGATAATTATTTTTATTAATCACTCAAAGGAATAACTTTTATTTTGCATTATTTGTATGGAGTTGTATTGGGTTTAATTTCAATAAGTTTTCTAGAACATTATAATGTTTTTAAATTTTACGTTTATTGGCATTATAAAAAGTCAGCATGTTTTAGCGTGGTTTACAACTTTAGGGAAACTTCCGTTAAAATAATAAATATTCTCTAATTTAAGGTTTTAACGAGTAACTATAAATAAAAACAGTTTTATTCTCTTCTTGCAAAACTGTATTATTCTTACGATTTTGTTATATCAGCACACAATGTTAACAGGAAGTCAGAACATAAATTAACTATATGATCATATAGTAATTCCAAAAAGTGGTTAATGAAACCAAAGTTTTTTATTCAATTATTTAACAACCGTATTGCTTATGTCTTATTATATTTTTTTATTTTTTTATTTTGTTTATATGAGGTTGGAGGTCTCTTTTAAGCTTGCATTTGCTTGTCCATATAGGTAATGAACCTGTCCAGGGAGCTTATCCAGCAAACCAAGGGGTGAGCCGGTACATACAGTACAAAGATGGACTGCACTGATAAAAAGTAGCGGCAGTGACCAGGATCGGAACCTACGACATCGCTGCCCGAAGTCCGTGACGGTAACTAAGCCACTGACTCACCAAATTAATTAATTAATTTAATGTTAAGTTTTGGACATAATCATGACCCAGTGCCTTTTAATAAGTAGTAAATATAAGTAACTAATGAGTGTAAGTTATTCTTACCAAATATGGAATAAGAGTAAAATCTATTCCGTAATATAGGCTACATGAATAGAAAAACACTGAAAGTAGTTACGATGAATTTCTCCATAGTTGTTCTTTGACAAAGGTATGTCTGCATCAGTTCTATCCACCTATTAAATATCTAATGTAATATAATGTAATATATACCTATATTTACACCTATATTGATATTTGTTGTTAGAGATATACTATCGATATTAAGAAAGGATACTTCTTAGAAGTACCTAATGGTAAGGATGGCTTATACTTTCACTAAACGAATATTGAGCTGCCAAAACATATACAGTATCTTCATAAGTTTGTTTCATACTATCTATCAATATT